AAAAAAAAAGTAATTAATGTGGTCTATGCCAACAAAGATAAAGATGCCTTTTGTCTATACTAAAACTTCTAATCAAGTTCCTTTCTAAGACTAATCCACTTATTTTTCCCTTTGGAAGTAAAAATAAGTACTTTTGCTCCCTAAGTAAATGCCCTAATTAACTTCTCTCTCCCTCTTGTCCAAGTCAAAAATCTCAAGATAACATGAGTTTCTCACAAATTCATGATTTTAAAACTCTCCAATTTTTCCTGCTTTTATCAAATCTGTTTGCTTAAGAAAAAATCTCAGTTAATGGAATTGTTACATTACAAATCTACACTTAATTTAAAATTCTAGTCCTAAGAAAAAACTAAAACAATAACTGATATCTCCATCTTAAGTGTGCTCCTTTTATCATTATTTACATGTGTTAGGTCAGTCAGGGCAGTTCAAGGGTCCGGAATGGCAACCTGACCTTGTGAATTACTGATAGTATCCAGGATGAGCAATTGTCATAACAGAACACTGCCCGCACTCCTGATTGTACAAATTTGGGGGTCCCCTGAGCCTTGTCTTCTTCTTCTGTACACTCTGTCTTGGCTGTTCTAAATTAGGAACCTCAGCCTTCTCTCCCCCTACTACTCTTAGGTATAAATTCTCCCCCTGCACTCCCTTCTTATGGCCCCTTCTCCCTTGGGGTTCAGTCTGGCAAGTGACCCCAATAAACCTTTATTTTCTAAGACCCACTTTTGGGCTCCTTTAGGCAACACTTTACAACATGGTGACCAATACCTCTTTTAAAACTAAGGTTTGGCTAAGTTTCATAAAAATGTGTTAAATATCTAAAAGCATTTAAATGAAAAAAAAAACTACATATTTAGGTTTACATTGTTGCTCCTTATTATAAATAAACTAAATTTTAATCTCATATAATCTAAAATAAAATTAACTAGCCTATGTGTTTACATGTAAGTTATCTAATTTAAAGGGAGAAAACATAATCATTACTATGTCTCACAATCTAGAAATTAGAAACAAGGATACGACAACTCTGAATATAGGTAAAGTAAATGCACAATTAAAAGAACACATTGAAAATATATATTTGAATGTCTTAAAAATAAAGTTGGATGGTTATCTTTGAAATTAAATGGTATTACTAAAGTAAAAAAATGTTTAAAATCTAAGAGGTATCTAAAAATTTTATGGGCTCTCATGACTATATAAAAAAATATTTTAGTTAACTTTAATACCAGTAGTATATCTATGCAACACCAAACTTTAATTCTTTATAAAAATATAAGAACAATAAATTAAGGAACTCTAAAACTGCTTCACTAGCTTTCCATCACAATGTAAAGACTGTTTTGGTGATCTTTAAACACCTGGTACTCCTTTACCCTCAGGTCACTGAAAAAAATACTTCTCTGATCAACTCTACTGACCTCTGACATAAAAAGTTATTCTTAAAAATCCTTAAATGCAGCATATAAGACAAAACAAACAAACAAACAAACAAAAAAGGGGCAGCATCTCAAGAATAACTTGTCCCCTTAGGAACAAATACACAAAGCATCATTTATCTTATTATTATTATTTTTTTTACTTGTAATCCTGACTTCATTGCAGTAGAATAATATTTTATCCCGGGCAAACTAGGACCTAGGTCCTTGGCTTCATAATGTTACCCATTGCAAGAACCATCTTGATTTGGTTCTGTTTCTGTTTTATCACCTATAGGATCTCTTTGGATATAAGCAAAAGCAGTATACCCTTATCTGAGTTGACATCAAGGTACCACCAATCCTATTTCAGAGCCCCAGCTGTTAGCATTTCAGCTGTTACCCAAGATGCCACCTACATGAGTCAAAAGGAAAAAAGAAATCCCCTCCCATGGTCTATGCAGTCCTACCAATCAAACTTGTGTCAATTAGATTATTAACAATGATGGCCAGAGATACCTTAAAAATTGTGGGATCACTGAAAAAAAAAAAAAAAAACAGAAAATCTGTTTTTAACAGTGCTGCCCATGTCACCATAATCTCCCAAGGACATGAAGTACAATAACCCTGTGCCACCTGTTCCAGAGAACTCTTCCTATGCTGACCTTTGTACAACTCTATCAATATCAGCCCTTAAATGTCTCTCTACAAAATGTCTATCCAGAGCTTGAGCTTGATTCATAAAAAAGGGGAAGATATGGGTTCTCCAGGCCCCCTTATTCTCGAGATTTATTTAGCACCCAGAATCACTGCTGTTCAAGCTAAAATGTAGTCAGGCAGGGGGCATCTCACTAGGACAAAATTCTTGGTATGAAAATATCAACTGAAAGCAGTAGGCAATCATTATAGCCAGAATAGCATAGTCAGCTACAGGACCTTGACAGGAAGTTAAGGAAAAACAAGGACAAGAGATAGGATGTTTTGATCAGCAGCAATAATGGAGTTACCCCAGGGAATGGCCCTTATTCACTCATTTCAGTTGTACCAGACGATTATGCATCCCCAATCCACATCCCCACATGCACCTTCCTCACAGACTGCCCACCTTCCCTGACTCTGATACCCAATAAATGTGAGATTGGCTAAGGGATGATAGGAGAGGCAGTGCATCTCCATAATTGTAAGCCCCTCTATATCACTCTCTCTCTCACTACTTGGGCTTTCAGTTGTTTTCCCTCCATCCTACAATACTCCCAAAGTTGCCACCCTTGA